TACCATCACAGAGGAAGTGCCTGCCCAAGAAATACACCATAATAGAGAAAAACAGGCTAAAGATGAAGAAATGGAGACTCCTGGTGACCCAGCATGAACACCTGGATCCAACTACGCCTGAGGCAGGTGCTAAGCCCTGGATTTTCGGGTGTGTGAACTGATCTACTCCTTTTCCTGCTCACATCAGCTGTGGGATGCATCACAATGCAAAGAACTGTGATTAACTCAGTATCCTTCTTTCTCTTTTGTAAAATCTAGGCCCTTTATTACCAGCCTCTGGGTTCATAGCCTTTGCTCTCTGACATGGTAGGGACTCTCACTCTGCACAGGAAGACCCCAGACATTTTACCTCATTGGTGAAAATTAGGTAGAAGGAGAGCAGGAAGGTCATGAGCCCCACGACCATCCCACCCGAGGTCTCGCTCAGCCGCTCCAGGAAGCCTGGCTGGGAGCCAGTTGTAACTTTGACATGTTCTCTCCGGGTACTGGTACTGGAATACTGAAGAAAAAGAAACATAGTCACAGAAGGAAAATTAGTTTTTTAAAAATAAATGAAATTTGCTATTTATTTATACTCAGTTTTTTTTGTTTTGTTTTGTTTTTAGTTTTAACTGTATGTGGTAAAAACACACAGATACTCAATGTGCAGTTTGGCTAGGTACAAAATATTTCCATCTCCCCAAAAAGTTTCTTTGTGCCCCTTTCCTGCCAACTCTCCCTCTCTCCACCAACCAGAGGTAACTGGTAGGGATGGGGAGAATCTGAATTTGAATTTCTCCCACTGTAGATTAGTTTTGTTTCTTCTAGAACTTGAGAAAAATGGAATCAGGGCACCAACTCCTTTCTGCCTAGCTTCTTGGACTCAGAGCACTGCTTTTGCAATTCATCCACGTTGTGGTGTTTATCAGGAGTTTGTTCCTTTTCAGGGCTGAGTAGTATTCCATTTATGACTATACCACAATGTGCTGAATCATTCGTCAGTGGATGGGTATCTTGGCAGCTTCCAGGTTTTGGCTATTATGAATAACGCTGCTGTGAACATTCATACATGAACCTTTATGCAGACGTGTGCTTTCATCTCCTGTAGGAATATACCTAGGAGTACAACTGCTGGCTCACAGAGAAGATGTGTGTTTATGAAACTGTCAAGCTATTTTACAAAGAGGTTATTAGAGAGGTATTTTTAATTAAATTCAGCAAACAGTGGCTAAGCTTTCTGAGGGCAGTGCTAGCCCTTGTGGGGTCAGAAGTAGACAGTCTTAGGGCAGTGAGGTCACAACCATAAACAATACTAGAAGGTCATACAGAGTGTCCTGTGAGAGGGGTGGACTCAGTGCTCAAGGAGTGACCTCTTCCAGCTGGGGTATCAAGGCAGGCTCCCTGGAGGAGGGGGCATTTGAGTGGAATCTTAGAGACAGACCTTAGGGGAAGAGCATCCCTAAAGGGAGAACCATGTCAGCAGTGATGAGGAAGTAGGAAGTGGTCCTGGGGGAGCAGCTGCCTATCTGCTTTGGCTGGGTTGTGGGAGGGATGGAGGAAGAAAGGGCTTGGAGCTAGGCATTTCTGGGCAAGTTCACAGTGGGCCTCAAACTCAAGGGTGAGTGGATCAGGCTTTGGTCAATAACACAGGCATGATTTGGGGTGCATCCACTGCTGATCAAAAGCGTCATCGTCTAGGGCAGGATTCTGGAGCCAGAAGAACTGGGTTTGAATCTATGCTCTGCCACACACCAGCTACAGGGTCTTGGGCAAAAGCAATTTTACCACTTTGTGCTTTCCATTTCCTCTGTGCATAGGGTTGTGGTGAGAAGCAAAGAACATAGTTATTGGGGGGCTCAGGGCCGAGGGCTTGGTAAGCACTCTACACATGTTAGCTAGTGGGAATGTTATCAGATTTCTCTACAACTGATAGTGGGCTGGCACCAGGCTGGGGGTGAGCTGACAAAAGTCACAAAGATATAAAGTGGGGCCCAGCTAAGACAGTGCCCCATCCTGGCACTAGGGGCCAGAGGAGTGATTTGAGTCAGAGTCTCTGCTTGGACAAAGCTGATGTCACGTTCTGATTGTCTTTGAATATCACCAGCCAAGGCCTCCAGTGACCAGATGTCCATGAATCCAGAAGTCATCTTGACTTTCTATACCATTTGGAAACATTAGGGGAGGGAATCACCACAGGCAGGCAGGTGACCATCATAATGATGACAATGGCAAACACACCGGTCTATCACAGGCCAGCCCACAGGCAAGCCCAAAGAGCTGGATGCCATAACCACCCCATTTCACTGATAAGAAAATCGGGCTTGGGGTTAAGTCAGCTTCCCAGATCACACAGCTTCTAAGAGGAAGAGTTAGGATTCAAATCCGGGCAGACTGGAGACTACTCTCCTATTACTCATTCCAGTCTGTGCTCCCCATCTCTTGGGCTACAATGTGAGTTGAATGTTGGGTGCTGGCTGCAGGCAGCAACAGGAAAAGGAGGCGTGGCTTCCTCTTGGGCCTCCCCTCAGCCAGCATCAAGATAAGGGGCTCAAAGACAACCTTGGAGGGAAGGAAGAGAGGTACAGGAGGGTGCCCTTCAGGCTAGGGGAGGGATGAGGTAGGCAGTGACATGACATACCCAGCCCACATTCTGAACCAAAATTCCCAGTAAACATGGAGGATCATAAAGGATCTATATATACACACATATTTATATATACATATATATTACATGTATACACACAAATATAAACACACACACACACACAGACATCCCCAGTGACACATCCCCTCCCAGTCCCAGCACTCAGGACTCAAAAGAAATAAGCAATGAGTGGTGGGAACAGAGGCTGACACGTAAGCCCTGGAAATGAACAGAACTGGGTTCGATGCCAAGGTTCACCAATCACTTGCTGTGAAGCCTGGGTAAATTGCTCTACCTCTCTGATTCTGTTTACTCACTTATAAAGTGGAGAGGGGAACAGTACCTTCACCATAGGTACTGCTGCTATACTGATTGAGAATTCTGTTGCCTCCCTACTCCATCCCACTATCTTCTTCCTCACCCAGCCTAGTGGCTGCTGTAAATGTATACCCAGCTACTGGATGAATCAACAAATGCTTGGCAGCAGAGGATACTCAAATGCATGTATGTTCCTTGGTGAGGGGCCAGGTCTCAATGTACCCAAGACGATCTCTATTCACTGGGACCATCTGTGCTCCCCTCTGCAATGACAGGCTAGTTTTCAAGTACTAAGTACCTATGACACACCAGGCACTGTGCTAAGCAGTCTCCCTTAAATGTCACAGTAACTGATCCATGAGGCTACATAACTGGAGAGATGAAAGCCACACATCTACTGGGTGGAAGAATCTGGATTGCCCCCAGGTCTCCCTAACTCCAAAGCCTGCCCTTTGCAGCATGCCAAGCTGGCCACAAGAGTTTGGGCAGGTGCCTTCCCCTGCTGGGGAAGTTCACCATCTGTAAAATATGGTGGTGGTGGTGATGGGAGCAGACAGAGTCCACATACTACAAACAGGCAGGTCTCCTGTCTGCCCTCTCTCCTGGCCGAGCCTGAGTCTCTCGGAATACCTCTGAGGCCTTTCTAGGTACACCATTCAAGGCTTCTAACCCTCCTGTGGGCCCAAAGTGTCCTGGGAGTGTAGATGATACTAACCCGAGACAGAGCGTACTAGGGCTGTGGGTGATGCACACCCTGGCCTCTCAAGGGGTGTGGGAGGCAGAGAGGACGCTTGGGGACAGAGGCGGCGTCTGGAAATAGGGTGTGACAGGCAAGGGGAGAGCTGCTAGGACACTCTACCAAAGCAGGAGGGAGGGTGTGTCTGGGGCTGGCTGGGCTCCTAAGCAGGCCCTAGAAGCACTTTCACAGAGGAGGGGAGAAGTGAGTCACCAGCTTCTCCCACATCCAGCGCCCTGGTAGGAGGCGCTGCTTGGTGTGCTGAATGAATGTTGGGCTTAAATAGTTTCCCGAGAAAGGCTAGTTGCAGGGAGAAGAGGCCTTGAAGGAACAGCCCTCAGCCAGGCCTTCTCCAACCAAATCCTTGCTAGGAGGAGGAGGGGCCCCGACAGTAGAGAAATGCTCCCTCTCCCCCTAACTCCTTCGCTCCCAGCCCAGCCTAAGCTTTTTGCAGCATCACAGCCTCGGTTTACACAGCCTCCCTAGAGCGGGGAGCTCTCTGTCCGCCTGGACAGCCCTATCCGTCCATTGCTGGACAGCTCCACTTGGGCTGGGTCGCCTTCCTCCCTCCCAAGGGAATGGCCCCCTCTCTGAGCTCCCGTCCAGCTCTCATAATGCGCAACCTTGGAACGGCTTCAGGGCCCCAAGATACAGGAGGGAACTGGGAATGCAAGGAGGAGCCGCGGAGAGGCGTACAAGCAGATCGTAGTGCGGGAGCAACACCTCCGAGTCCGCCTCCGCACGAACGCCGAGGACTAGGTGGACCAAAGAACACGGACAAAAGAAGTCTGGACGGGTCGAGAGATTAACAGAGGGATGAGCTGGCGAAGGCACCGACACGGCGCGCAGAGGGAGATGCGGGCCCAGCCGCAGGGAGGAGTTCCAGACGGCGAAACGGACCCAGAGGCCCCCGGGGAAGAGCCCCAGGGCGACGGAGAAGCCTGGGTGTGGCCCGGCTGGCCAGGGGACACTCACATTCGCGGCCATGGTGGGACCCGGCTCGCTGCCGCCGCCTCGCGCTGTTCAGCTAGGAGGTGGGCTGACGACTGGAGCGCGGAGTCCAGCGGCCTCTTGCCAGCCCCAGCTTCGAAAATCCGCGTGGACTCCAAGACCAGGCGGGACTTACTGCAGTTACCACCCCGTGTGCCCAGTGTTTCTGCGCATGCGCGCGGCGAGACCCGGAAACGGGTCAGGGACATTGCAGTACCTCATTGATGCGCCTGCGCACTGCAAAGCTTTCTGGGAAATGTAGTGTCTACTGCCTGGCGAGCTGCTGTGGGGCTCGCGACCTGCTGGGAAATGTAGTTTCCGGCTGAGGTGGGCCTGGCCGCGGTTAATAGGGCGCCGAGGCAGGCGCGCGGCGGGCAGGCCTGGAGGGGGCGGGTCCGCGCGGGCTTCGGAGGCGCCCGCCCTGCCTGAGGAGAGGAGGTCACGGCGTAAAGCTGCAGCTACCGCCACTGCCGCTTCTGCAAGGTCTCAGGGACGGGCTGCAGCCATGTCCTATTGCCGGCAGGAAGGTAGGGAGGGCGGGCTGCCATGGAGACCGGCCTACGAGGGCCTGCGGGAGACACGCGGGCCCCGGCGCCCCGCTACCACGCCGCAGGCGCGGGCCACCCGAGGCGCGGCCCGGTTGCCCACTCTGGGACACTCGGAGGCGGGCAGGCTGGGGAGTCGCCACTCGTGTTTTGCGAATGAGAAAACCGAAGCTCTCGGGGGAACGGGACTGGTCCAAGGTCACAGTGAAGCCCGAACCCTGACCTCAGAGGGGCCTGTGCGTGGGAAGTCGTAAACTAGGCCGGGTTGGGGCACGGGAAGTGCCGAGCACGTTGCGTGTGGCTCGTAACTGGGAATGTATGTTAATTATTACTACCGCTCCTGCCATACCCCACGTGTTGCCATTTTGCACGCGCCTTTAAAAGGCGGGTCCCGAAAAGTTGCTACTGGGGGTAGCGTGTGCTGTGCTGGGGTGCTAGGAGTTGTGCTAGGAGTTCTACTAACGGGAATGTTTTTGAGCCCCCTGCTACCTATCAGGCACTGTTCAAGGAAACTTACCTGGCTTGTCTCATTGATCTCGCTGCGCCCTTTGTAAGTCAGACTCTGTTACTGGTCACATTTTACTGAAGAGTAAAGTCTGACACAGGAGACTTGGCTAAAGCCACTCAGCCAGCAAATCGTGGAACCGGGGTTTGAGCCTGGGCATTGTGACCCCAGAACAGCCTTTTCCAATCTAGTGCCCAGTGGATTGCAGGGAGAACCCTGCCTACCTCCCACCCCAAAGTTGAGCTCCAACCACCTAATGCTTCCTTGATGTTACTCTACCCAAGAGCTCAAGTACCCAAGCCACAGGTCGGAGGGCCTCCCCACACACTGCCACAAACTGACTCCTTGGCCCTGAGCTCCTACCTAACCCCTCCAGGCCCTGGTTTCCAGGGTTGTAAAATGAGATGTTGGGCTTCACTGATACAGCAAATACTCATGAAGCATCTTCTCTGCTCCAGAGAAGGGGGATGGATGGTTATAAAGCTACAGAGAGAGTTGGAAGTCACCCAGAAATTCTTTGGTGAACACTCCAGCTCCATCAGTTAATTCAAGCAATCTGAAGCCCAGAGAAGGAGGTGGCCTACCTTAGTTACACATCCAGTTGGGAGCATAGCTCAGCCTAAAATGCTGAGCCTTTTCCCTAGTAGCCCTGTCTGCTTCTAGAACCTCTCCTCCTCTGGGTTGTAAAGCCATAAGACTCACTCTTTAATGAGTACTATTATATTTCCGCTGATTACTACTTAATGTGTGCCGTAAGCAAAAGTCCTCTGCCCTCACCACTGTTGTTTTTAATTTCAAGTCTCTCTAAAATTTACTTCATTTAGCAAATAATTTTTGAGCCTTTGGATATAATGAGGCTGTGCTGATAAACAAAACCCTCCTTCTCTTTGAGGATTTACAGGAGGCAGTTTTCTCTGGAAAGGGAGGCTAGGTCCATCTGCCATCAAAACATGGAGCCCTTATCTTTTCCTGGTTCAAAGATCTCTCTTAGGAGATGAGTGAGAATTGAAAGCACTCACTTATAGGCCTTCCTTAGTATTTATCTTATCCATACCACTGTCCCCCTAAGAAGTCCCTAACTTTTTTTTTTTTTTTTTTTTTTTTGCCCACTGATCCTTTATGCTTCCCATAGGATTTTTTAAAAAATGATCCCAAACTCCTTACCGTATCAGAGCTTATGTGATCTGGCCCTGTCTGCCTTTCCAGCCTGGTCTCTTCCCACCTTTTTGTTGCCCAGCCTCTAACCTCTTCGCTATACCCTTGGTTTGGTATATCCTGCCTTCACCTCTTCCATGGCTGACTCCTCATCCTTTAAAATTTAGCCTCCTGACCCTTTGTGTCTTTCACATCCTGAACTCTCTGAAATTACCTTTTTTATTTTTTGCCATCTTCCTGCCTGTCTTCTCCCACTAAACTGAGAGCATCAGATGGGCTGTGGAATCCCCAGCATCTGGCACAGGGCCTGGTGTACAATGGGTGCCCAAATCTTTATTGAATCATGCGTGTACCTGCCCTCTGTCCTGAGTGAATCACTTGCCTGTGCAAGTTTATTTCAGGGGTCCACCTGCTACCCAGCCTTCAGGTTAAACTCCTTGGTTTGGCATTCGAGGGCTCTCAGCCTGGCTCCCTGGCCTTGGGCTAGCCACACTTCTCTGTGTCAGCACCATAGTGTTTCTTTCTTAGTTTCCTCTTTCTAATGCAGAGCCTGCCCACTCGTGTTTAGTCAACATTTATAGAGCACATGTGATGTGCCAGCCATTGGGCATATAGTGGTGAGCAATGTGACACATTCTCTGCCTTCCTGGCATGGTGGAAGAGATTGCCATTAAAACATCACCAGACCAATGCATGATTACAGACTGTCATAAGTGACATGAAGGGAAAGCCCAGCATGCTATGATCATTTAGTGAACGGCTCTGTGGGGTCTGAGAAGGCTTCCTGAGGCTTCAGAGATCCTTTTAAATGCCACTTTTCTTAAGAAAACCTTTTGCAATCCTCAACGTGTGTGAGCGAACACTACTTAAAACCCTCCTTTTGCACTCCAGGCTTTGCCCAGGATGGTCCCTTCTGGAATGTCTATTCCCTCCTTCCCTCCCTGAAGTTCTTTGTCAGGGACAAAGGTAGGATCCCTCCCCTTCCGTCTTCTCCACTGGATGCCTGTGTCGTATTCATCTGTGACCACCAGGTACTACCACAGAGCTGGAGCTAAGGAAGGTTTGTTGAGCTAAACTTCTAACACTTGCATTCTTCTAACACTCTGTCTGAAAGCTATTTGTGTGTTCTTCACAGATACTTGATTCTGTACGTGGGAGTTATATCTTTCAAAGGGGTTAGATTCTAAACATGAAAGTCCTCAGCAGTCAGATTTATCAAACTCTTAGAAACCCCTTACTTTACTCACTCAAAATACACCACAGCCACCACTCCCTCTGGCTTTAGATCTCTTTCTTGGGTTGAGTGTCAGAAAGTAGTGGTTGGAATTGTATCACAGGTGTATTGAATCAGCTTAGCCAAAAATGAAAGAAGACAAGTCCGTAGTGCAGGTTGCCATTCTCAAACATGATCCTGGTGAGTCAGCATCCATGGGAGACAAGAAACTGCTTCCTCTGCAGGACACACGGGCATTCCTTCTGGGGTGGATATGCTGAGAGATTCTTGCCTGTAAAGATCTTCCCCGTTCATGGGGGAAATCAAACTACTCATCCAAGGGATTTTTTGGTCTTACTCACCTAATGGTGATAACCATTCTGTCTTCCTGCTTTCTGCTGGGACTGGGTGACAGAGCAGGAGTAGCGTCATCTCGGACAAACACTAGCACTTTAAGTTCCAACTCCCTTTCTAGCCTCATGCATTTCAAGGAAATCACTTCTAACTACAAGCAGCCAGGAAGAGCAGACAGTAAAACACAGATAAGACACCTCGGTCATAGAGGGAGGTGGGGGAAAGTCTCTTGGGTAACTGCCAAACTTCACCCTCATACAGTGGACCCCAGTAAAACTGTGGGCCTTAATAAGAACATTCCTTTCCCTTCAGGTGCACTAAGATAGGGAAGCTAAAAGCAGTCCTGGGGGGGATATGCCTGCAGCTGCAGAAAGATGTGTGGAAACAGACATACAACTCTGCCTCCCAGATAAGCACAATAAAGAGACACAGAAGCAGTCCAAGCCTCTGATAAACTCTCTCACCCTGAATCCTTAAAAACTCTTAGTCTGTAAGAGAATGTGGCTCTGACCTAACTCAGCCAGCAGCCCACCTCAGGTTTGTTTAAAATAAACCTGTCCCTGTTGACTGAAAAGCCACCGTTCATGTTTCTCTCCTCTTTCTTTAATTCTTACACTAGGGTCTTCATGCCGTAATCCAGAGTTGTTTCTCCATTCACTTTTTTCAACAAATATTGAACACCCACTTTGTCATTGGCACTATTCTGGGCTCTCAGGATACTGCAATGAACAGAATAGACAAAAATCGCTGCCTCTGAGGAGCTGACATTCCAGTGGGGGCATCAAGTGGTAAACATACATAGTATGTTGGGTGAAGAAAAGCACTTTGGAGAAAGATAAAAAAGCAGGATAAGGGAGATGGGCAGTGGTCAGGGACGGTGGCATGTGAGCAGGAAGTGAAAGCAGGGAGAAATCGCTGTGAGGGTACCTGAGGGAAGGGAAAGTGCTCCTGGAGGACAGAATACCCTGTGCAAAAGCCAGAGGTAGGCATGTGCTCAGCATGTTCAAGTAAAAGCAGAGGTCAGCATGGCTGGAGTGGAGGGAATGATGGTGGGAGATGGGGTCCAAGAGGTGAGAGATGCAGCTCTTTCTGGATATATTTGAAGATCGAGCCATTCTAATTTGCTGATGGAGATGTGAGAGAAAGACGGGTTGGGGTGGCTCTACCAAAAGTAAAACTAAACAGCTGAGGGTGGAAGGTGTCTTGGTATCCGACTGCTCAGTCAGTTCTGTTCTCAGCCCCACCCTGAAGTCCTGTTCACAGAGTAACCCCTCGGGCCTCCAGTTCCCCACTGTGACCAAGGTTCTGGGGTGGGGACTGAGTTGATTCTGGGGGACCTCCTCCTTGTGCACTTTGGGTTCAGCTTTCTTCACTGGTTAAGTCAGAGAGCACTCGACCATCAGCTCTCCCATTTCCAAGATATTATTGACATCTCTGAGCCTGTGATTGTCTCTTTTCCTGGCCACGTACCCTTTAAAACTCACTGTTGAGTGGGATTCTAGTTAACAGCAGAAACACATTTCACCTCCCCAACCATGTGAGGTAGGTAGGTGAAGCTGGTGGTAAGGCCTGGTTTCTGAGGCCCAGAGGGTACCTGAGCTCACACAGTGGGAAGTGCTTAAGTCCAGCTTTGAACTCCAGTTCTCAGACTCTCTGTGATATTGAAGCCACTGTGAGCCAGAAGGTTTAACATAGTTATCCACCTCCTTCAGAACTTGCATATTCAACTGCTTTTAAAGCTTATCTTAGAAATAAAAACACAAGCACTTTTAATTTTATTTCTCTGGAGAAATTGCTGAGAAATGTCATAAGAACTACTTGTCTAGCTGATTGTCCCACTGGTTGGCATCTTATGACTAGTCTGACCAGTTCTTTCTTTCACACTTAGATTTGTTAGGAATAGGTAAGCCTTGTCCTTGCATCGGTTCTTGAATTGAGTTTTAAATGTTCCAGAAAGCAGAGGCCCTCCAGGACAGGCATGCAATGGACAGTTTGCAGGAGACACACTCTGGATCTTTCAGACCAGAGTTCCTGTTCTGCCTTCATTTACTGCATGTCTTTTGGTCCGTTTCTCAGCTCCTGTGGTTTCTGTAAAATGGAGATAAAGTAATACCCACCAGTGAACTCACAGATATAATAAAACACGTTGCATGGGACAAAAATGTATAAAAGATGCAGCTATTACTGTTCTACCTTCGATCCAGTGTGAACTGTGCTACAAGGGAAAATGTCCAGGAAGGCACATGTGAGGACTTGGCCCAGTGGGAGGGACCTGGAATTCTCAGTGGGATTGTGCTAGGCTGGTGTTTCCTAACCTGGCTGTGTATCAGTCACCTGTGAAGCCCGTGAGCTACATGGATGTGGCAGAGAGCTCGATTCAGCTTTTCTTGGGTGAGGCCTGGTCTCTCTATGTATGGCAAACCCCAGGAAGGCCTCATACTTTACCACATTTGGACCCTTTGCTTTGTGTGCCTATGGCTGGGCCTCACCATTGGGCTGCGCTGAGCTGCCATCTTGGTCAACAAAACTGCCAGAGCTGAGTTGCGAAATGTGCATCAGCTCATTGTACTTAGCGTTCACCATTTTTACAGATTGCTTTTGAGTATTTTGGAAACTGGCCAGAATTACCAAGATTACTAGGTACTTTAACAAGTCCTGGCTGCCTGGTCCAAAAGCTTTCCCAAGTCAGCCACAGGGGAAAAGCAGTCTTCTGTTGGATGACATGCAAGGTGTTGTGGCAGAGACCATCTCTGGGAGCAGAAACCTCCAGTGTGTTGGGGGTCCTGGCCCTGTGTGTGCTGAGGGTTTTTTGTTGTTACTCTGTCCTAGCGTAAGAGACCCTGTGCAGTGTGGGCATGGCGTAAGGCACCAAAGTGCCCTCCCTCTGTCCCCTGAACTGTCCTTCTCACTGGAGATGTCGCTCAGTTTTTGTTGTCACTGCCCCCTGCCTTCCAGAAGCCTCTTCCTTAATTACATCAGTCCAAGCATGGGCCCAAGCCTTTTTCCTTGCTTTCCCCTCAGCATACCTGTGACTGAACTTTTCTAAATATAAAGAGAAAACAAAAAGTATAAAGTAATCAGAGATGCCTGCAGCTTTCACAGAGCCACGTTTCTGCAGGTCAGGCCTCTGTGCCCACAGTAGCCGCTCACTCAGAGCCACGCACTTTTGGCCGTAGCTGAAGAAGTCTTCTTAAATGCATGGCACCTCCTATCCCCTTCCAGATGAGGGTCCCTGTACCCCAGATCTCCTGGGATCAGAACGCATGGTCAGTTGCTCTGTAGAATTTGTCATTCATCTTCACCAGGAAGGTACAAGAAAGATCTTGTTCGTTTACTTGGCAAACATTTCACTTGACTCTAAGCTTTTTGAGGCAGGGGTTGGGTCAGATTTTATTGTGTTTATTCATTGCCCAAGGTGCACAAGCTCTTAGGCAGTGCCTAGTCATGCTAAGTGCTCAGTGTCAGCTATCATTATTCTTGTGCAGATGTTGGTGCGGGGCAGTATGGGTGTGTAGAAAGGATCTCCAACACTGTAGACTTCAAAGAATCCTGTCCTGTGTGGCCCAGCAAGTCACTACTCAGAGCCTCAGGCTCACCACCATTAAAAGGGGGTGCTGCCACCTCCCTCTCAGGGTGGCGATAGGATGGAGGAATGAGCTCACACGGAGGACCAAGAGATGGACTGGCTCTGTCTGTTCTCCGGGTACTGCTGGAGAAACTGATGATCCACCATGCAGCGTAGGGTACTGAGGACAAGGTGCTTCTTGCCCACAATGAGAATATCTGACGCATACCTGTGGTGTGGTTAGCTGATGGCCGAAGTTTTTAGGAAGGTGAGGTAAAGTGTTGACAGCTACAAGGTGTAGTGGAGAGGGCTGTAAGGACCTACCTTCTGCTTACATAGCCACTCAGCCTTGGTTTTCTCCTGTACTCGATGGGGGCTGAGCGTGATAATACTTCATAGGGGGTCACTGTAAGGCAGTTAATGCACCCACCCTGGTTTGGCCAGGACTGATATGCTTCTCTGTGCTCACCCAGCCTCCAGTGAGGAGAAGCTCCTAATATAAAATGCATTTGACTCTCACTGGTCTGTTTTCCTGTAGTCCTCAGACCTTCCGGCAGCCAGGCCCCAGGGTGAGGGCTCTGGTTTTGAACAAGGTGCTCTGCACTTTAGGCCTGCTGACTTTCCCATGCTGGTCCTCACAGGACCACAGTCCTGACCCTAACCACTGTGGGGTTTGTCCTAAAAAAATCAACTGCAGATGGTCACAGTTAAAAAGATCTGAGAAGTGCTTTTCCTGCTGTCCCCCTCCAGTTGTTATCCTTGTTGGGAAATGGTCCCCAGGCCTCTCGGACTGTGGGAATGGAAGGGCTGCAGTGTTCCTCACCTTCATGACCCTTTCTTCTTCCGGCCACGATTAGGAGCCCAGAGGCCTAGTGGGGGTGCTGACTGTGGGCACTCTCAGACTGCCCGTGTCCTCAGCCTTTCAGAGGCAGGGGCCTGTGGGCTCATCAGCTGTGTGGGCTGTAGTGATCTGTAGGCTGAGGACCCACATCACTGCACACTCACTTTGCCAGTGTGCTCAGTCTTCCTCCAACTTTTTATGCATTCTGAACCCTGTGGGTAAGCCCCTAGGACACTTTCTTGAGTGCTTTTTTTCCTGCCCTGCCCCTCATCCATCCCCTTTTGTTTCCTACCTGTAGCATATGAGAGCAGTTTGATGGTCACCTCACGTAGGGATGGCATATGGGACAGTCTTCAAACTTGGTTTGTATGGTGACTGCTTTGGGTTTAAAGCTGACTCACTGCTCTTGAATGAAACATTTCTTCCTGTGTTCTCCAAACACTAGGGAAGGATCGAATCATATTTGTAACCAAAGAAGATCATGAAACTCCAAGCAATGCAGAACTGGTGGCCGATGACCCCAATGATCCATACGAGGAGCATGGTGAGTGACATGGGGCCTCCCAGGGACCCACATCAGGGCACTAGGGGGAAGCTCAGTGTTCTTAATTCCTTTCCTATGTTTTCCTAGCCAAGGCCGAGTTTTCAGGTATCTATTCTCAGCCATAGACTATCTCTGAGGGCAGTGGTTTATCTTCCTCGGAGGTTTGAGGGACTGTGCTTGCCAACCTTGTTCTGATGTACTTTCCTGGCACAACAGTTAAGTTTTGGGAGAGGGTGTTAGTAGATTCTAGCAGTTATAGGTAGGTTAAGGTGACAGGGCTCATGCTCAGACAAGTTGCCAGACTGAATTCTGCCACATCTAGCAACTTGATTAGCAAGTAGACAGTCATGTACCTTGTTCTGTAAGGTTGGTGAAGTCCCTGCTCTCTCTAACTGCTCCAGCAAGCACCTTACATGAAAAGGTCACTTGACACAGACAGCTTTCCAGCAGCAGGATTCAACTAACCTAGTCAGAGCTGTTGCACACTCCTTGGTTAATGGCTGAATATAACAGTGGTTGCTTAGGCCTAGGACATTGTTCCAAAAGTTTTGGGCTGCTGAACTCACTAGATACTTACTACTGCAGCCTGTGTGCGGTGGATGTGTGTGTGCGGTACCCATGAACAATCTACGTATTGTACAGTACTCAGTTCACCAATCAGAAACCACTTCTAGTGTCCATGATGACAACTAACCTTCTAGTGCTAATTGGTAATTGAAGAGCATGAAGCAGCCGCATCGGGAATATGGGTTCCTGATTGGAATTTCTCAAATGCCAACTGATGTGTCTATTCCTTCTGTAGGACCCTTTACTTGTTGCCCTGACTGATCCTAGGGGTCAAAGCATAAAGTATATATCCAGCACCCAGTGGGAGCAGCGGGAAATGCAGACATTATACAAAGTGTTAGCATTCTGAGAAAGACAGCTGCAAGGGTAATCTTGATCAGGACTTACATGTCAATTCTAGTACCTTGCTTATCTTTAGATCCATATTAAGCACATTTCATTAATTGATCAAGACTATGGAGGCCTGCAGTACAAGTTGAGCCTTGTTTGTTTGCCTCACAGTGTTATTAAAAACTGAATGTATCTGCCTTTAGACTGGGCTGCTCCCTCCAGATCCCACCATTCTTTACCGTCCCTGTTGTTTTTTTACCTGTTTCTGTCACTTGCAATGTGTCTGCTTGGATTGTAGGTATCCCATATGATGCATTTAGCTTTGCAGCCCCTTATAGTGATACTTTGTACAAAGAAGCATATAAAACACAAAGAACTCTGGGACCCAGGTTTCAACCTCTTAACTGCAAAATTACTAAGTGGGCCAAGTAAGTCACCATTTTATGCCATCTACCTGCCTTCCAGCACCCAGCTGTGCAGCTGAGATGGTGCTTGTAATAGCTAAGAGTACCAAGAAAAAAAGGTGGCAGAAGTAATTTTCCTAGAATCAAAACATCAAGAGGGCCTTAAAGATCATCTGATCCAATGAGAAAACTGGGGACCCAGGAGGGGGCGGAGACTGACTCAGCCGGAGACTGGAACCTCAGGCCTTAGACTGCATGTTTGATAACACACTACATCTGAGCTTTATGTAACATGCCAAAGGTACCCTCTGTGTGGATTTATATTGTGTTCCTGAAATGCAGATTGGCACCATGTGCTTTGTGAGGAAGTATCTCATTCCAGCTCACCTGCCCCTAAGAAATAATGAAATAAGGACTCCTGGAGACCTAGGATATAATTTTTTTTTGTTATTTTTGATCAACCACCTGGTCAATTTGCACTGGGGTGTAATTTTTAAATATCAGTATTATCTCTTGGAAACTGGTTATGCAGGTTTGTGAGCAGATTTGAAACTCCAGGGGGTAGCATTTGCAAATGTTTTTCCAACACTGAGGTCCCTGTCAAGAAGCGGTGAGATGTAGGGGAAGGGGCATGGCTCTGGGAATCCTGCCAGCTCAGTCTGCAGTCCTCACTTGGACCATGAGCCCCAGAGACTGCGTGTGCAAACTGGGGTTAGTAGCACCCACTGCAGAAGGTTGTCAGAAGGCTTATGTGAGTTACCAAGCATAACTTAATGCAGGAGAACTTGATCTGCAACTGCTGATGGTCCTGGGGGTCTGCTGCCTGCTAAGGGGGCAGCACTAGTTGGCATCGTCCATGCTATCCCCATTTTACAAGTAAAGGACAGGAATAGCTACAGCAGATCCATTGGTCAGTGGAGCTTCCCAAGCTGGAACTGAGAGGCAGGCGGGGTTTCGTCTAGGACTTTGGACATTAGTGCAGTGCACCAGGCCTCGGTATTGCCCTGGAGTGAAGAATCATGTGTAATTTCACAGGACATTTTAGAGGCTCTCTTAGAAAGTACTTTCAGTCTCTTAATAAGACTCATGTAAGAAACTTCTATATGAATGATATGTCTGTGCAAAGCTGAAATGAAGCCATCATTTGAGAGCATTTTGGAAACCAAAGAAAACTATTTAGAGTGAATAAAGTTCAGTGATCAGAAAAGGTATAAAAGTCCAAAAGTAAGAGGTCATTAATAATAGGAAAATGAAAACCCATTTATAACCTTGTTTCCTCCCCCAAACATATGTGGCAGTTGAACAGTTTGGTTGATTTTCACAAGAATGCACTCACACCTAATGGTAGGCCACCACTCTCATTGTGCCGCATGGTCTTGGACATCTTTCCTCATCAGTACACAAGGACAACCTCCTCCTCTTCACACACTCCCCAGGCATGCTAGCTTCTAGAAGCACGCTGCAGGGCAAGCTGGATTTCAAGGGCAGGAGCATGGGGTGGGGCTGTCCTGACCATCCCATAGAGGAAGGGGGATTAGAAAGAGGATCAATACCCCGGTTCCTTAAAGGGTTTGGGCTTTCAAAAAGCTCTTCACTAACCATTCAAGTGTATCTCCTCTTGGGTTAGATGGGTCCCGGTATTTAATCTTGGAGCAAGCCCTCAGAGCACGGGAGGTGGCTTAGAATAGACTAGTGTGTCATA